GAAGAAACGGTCAACGACGTATCGGACTACATATGCGCAGCCAGCTGCAGACGGGCGACAGCAGGCCGGTCTTGCCTCAAACAAGGGTGCGGAATTGCGGAGCAGATCGAATGCTGCCCTAAAATCATCATTGCTTGCGAATGCATATAGCAGCCGCTCGAGTCCGGCCAGCGAAGTGGGTCAGGTCAATACATGACGCGCTGCCGGGTTGCATGCACTCTGACTGTTCAGGCAGCACATCCGCATGCAAGAAGTTGCTCAAAGTGGACAGGCAACAAATTTCAACAAAGGCTTGAAATGGTCACTGCAGATTCAAAGACTCTAGCCGACAGGGGCGGGCGGTGCAGCTCGACGTTTGAACATCAAAACAGGGCGATCCGATGGGCTTCTTCATGGCGATCCGCCCTCATGCAGCAGCATGGCTTGCTGGTGCACGCTCAGAAAGGTTCTTTTGCGCATGCCTCCCACAGCTCCGGCGAAGGGGCCCTTCTTTCGCCTCTTCTAACATTGCATGCGCCTGCAGACCATTGCATGGGTATAGGTGAAATGTATAGCACTGCGACCCGAACAATTCGCCCGCGCCGACGCGTCGGGCGTGTTGGTGATGCAGCTCGTGCTGCTGTGCGGCGATCAACGTGCACGCTCGGCCACTAGCGCGCTCATCAATCGCAGACGATCAGACGAAGGCCCTGCATGTCGGTCTGCCCCGCACTCAACACCCGGGACCGCGAGACATGTCGCACCTGTGGCCGTCCATCGACCCCTCGGCTTCTCGCTTTGAACAGGCGGAAAAGGTCCTCCTGGACACACCGGAGAGGGAAACGACTAATTTACAGCAGATTGGTCAGATCGCTAAATGTTGGCTGGTACCATGAGGTTAAGCAAGCACGAATTGCATTACACGGAAAGCAAGGGTTTACAGAAGACGGTTGCATGTCAAGCACGGGTGATGAAGATGCGGTAACGCTCGTCGAGAGCAAGTGCATCTCTAGCAAGCTCTTTTTCTGCCTCGGTGACATCTTCCGGTTCCCGAGCAACAACATCCAAGATGGCCTGAAGAGCAGGACATTGGGGCGTAGGCGTGACGATGACTTCCAGCATGCTCGTGCCCTTCTGCAAAGACTGCAGCCTTACGACTCTTTCATCAACAGCATCTATCTCGACGTAGGAAAGACGAGGCGCATCTTGAAGGAGACCTGCGCCCCCTGTTGCCATCGGCTGACTACGAAATGTGGCCAACGACTCCGATAGAGCTCGCGCTTCCTCGACAGATGGCAAGCGAGCACCATTCAATCGAACTGTAGTCCGCCATGTGCCAGCAGCGGGACTGTCCGTGCTGACGTGCTCCGCGGTCTGGCTTGCGGTGGTATCCCTTCGCGGATCTACTTTCGTGATGACTGGAGAGCTGCTGCTCTCATCTATTCCGTCGACATCGGCTTCATCGTTGATGTTCTGAGGCACAGCTCCATTGAAGGCAAAGGTGAGTTTGACGCATTGAGTAGTGGGAGGGACTGTGATGCTGTGAAGACGAGTCATGTCGTTGTTCAACGATAGTCTGACTGGCTTGTCCAAGTCGCTCGTCACCTCAACGACGACCAAGTGAGCTGCTGCAGGTCGTTTTATGCTACGAACCACCGGCGGCATTAGAGCGCTGATAGGTGGTGCGCCTAATCGCTGATTTCTTATTCGAGGCTGTCCTGCCAAGTGTTGCGCGGGCGGCAAAGAGGCCTGTACGCCCGTGCCAGCTCCCGACGCCGGGACACTTGCCGCCCAGGGAAGTGCATGACTCTGACTGCGTGCTGGCTGAGAGATCTGGGCCAGAGGATGCGCGTATGGTGAGTCGAGTCCAGAACGAGCTGGCATTCCTGATGTCGGCACCTGTGCCCGAGCTGTCGGGGGTGGGGGCACAGGCTGGAACCTCTCCGACGCGGACACGTGCGCGGAGCTCCCTCTGAAGGGCAAAGTCCGATCGTAATTCTCAGCAGGGCGCTGCATTGCTCCGACATGGCTCATGGAGGACGAGGCGCCATGTCGGACCGCTGTAGAAGCAGGTGCAGCTTGATGGCGCACGCTACCTGGTGATGTCACTCCTGCTAGGCCGCGCTGCATCGTGCCATCCTGATGAGGCCCAGGGTGGGGTGCAGCGCCCGGTGAAGCAGATGGCATGGAGCGTCCATTGCTGACAAGTGCAGGTGTAGCGGCGCTGTCGAAATATCCGCTCGCGCGCCGTCCCGCGTCGGGGGGCACGATTGGAACAGGTGACCAAAGGCCATTCGGCTGCATGGTTGCCGTTGGTGGACTGCCAGACTGAGTCAAAGGCCCGCGAGGAGCTGGACTCTGCTCGTCCGAACGGGTGGATACATCCGCCTGTCGCATAGCTTCGGGGCGCAAGCTTGGCTGTTGTGGAACCGCTGACGTCAAAGGAGGTCCTGCTGATTCGACCGTTGGTGCTTGAGGAGCAGTCCCTCCTGTGGTTGCGCTTGCAACAGCTGCAGGACTGCTCGTCTGGGCGTCTCTTTCTTGGGACCGCTTCAGTTTGACTTTGAGCTTCGCCTTCGATGAACCAGCGTCTCCTGGGTTGCTCTTGAGAGCTGCAAGTGCCACCGGTTGCCTTGTCATTGCGCGCTTTGCTGTGTCTGCCTGGGCCAGTGCGGCTGCGCGGCTGATGTTCTCCGGTGCTCGCGCTGATTGACGCTCATCAGCCGGGTCCAACGTGAATCCTTGTGCATATAATTTCGGTATCGCAGTCTTTTCAAGATAGGTCTACGGTCGTGTTGATGGGCTCGATGTCAGTGTACACCTCCTCTCGAGTCGAAGAACTGCCCTCTTACCCGTATCTGTGCAGCATCCTCGTACACTTCGCTATCATCCTCATTGTATGTCTGCGCATTGTCAAGCATGCTACGAAGGTCCCCCATCATCGAATTTAGAGTACGATAGGCTCCGGCGTCGATCTTGTTCTGCGCGTTAGGGCGAGGAATGCCGTCAGCACCGCAAAACGATTGAGCGATTCGAGGCGCACTGACCTCAATTTCGAACATCGATATCGGCTGTGGAATCAGCTGATAGTAGTCAGGATAGTCTTTTCTGGAAGGCAACTCTGTAAAAAAGTCTGTTAAAGGTGTCCCTCTTGTGGTATAATGGGGGCAACTCAGCGTTCAAAAGTGGGTGTTCTGTCCCTGTCCTGCCAGTACGCCGACTCACTCTGCTGATACTGCAGCATTGAGATCGGCAATCACTTCCTTGAAAGCGTCCTTTAGTGACTTGCCTCCACTCGAAACATCCTCGCCTCCCTCCGCGCGCGCAAGCCGCTCCTCATTCGGCATTTTCCGACCCAGCGCACCTTTGATACGGATCCTCATCGACGTTGGCTCCTTGACGGTCTCCGTCTCGCTCTCGCCTTCCGCATCTTCATCTCCCTCGTTTTTTGCCTCTCCGTCTGCATCTGCAGCGATCTCACCAGAGCCGGCTGGACGAAGGGCTGCCAGACCTCCAGGCTGCTGTGACAAGGCCAGTCGTGACTGCGACGGCGATGCAGGGCCGCCAAGCGGTGAGGAACACCGGCCAAGCTCTATAACATCACTGTACGCGTCCTTAATTAGAGCCTGCGTGAATGCGGTGGTGAGCCTTTGAGCCTTCTTTTCCACCCAGCGAGTTATCTCTCATTCGCAAAGCTTTGCTCACGTGTAGGTGCTTTGCCTTGGTCCAGATTGGGGTGTCCCTCATATTGTAGCGCTTGGCATTGTTGCACACCATCTCGAGGTCTCGCTTAAGATCGGCGACCTCGCTGTACCTGCCTCGCTCTAGCCGCTCCTCGATGATGTACAGGCTGATGGGATGCCTGATCGTTTGATAGTAGTCCGGGTAATCAGACGCCGAGGGCAGCTCCATGAACGGCGCTGCCAAAAGGGTCTCATCTCTGCGTATCCGAAGAACGTATATGATCAGCCTCGCGATATTGCATGAAGCGGTCCTCACTACGCCAGAGTCCTTGGATCACTTACTCGGGATCGATGCGATGGAGCAGGACATCCAGAATCTGATATCCTGCCTTGGTAATGTCCTCTGCCCGCAGCGGTGGGGATGCCGTCCTAGGCTTGATGGGGGTACTGGGGCTTTCCCTAGCGCTCACGCGCTGTCTCTTGCGGCCCCCTTCCAGAATCTGAGGAAGCGTGGTAGGTCCGGGTCAGCCAAGAAGCAGATCGGTGCAGCTGTCCCATCAACCTTGGAAAGCGGACATGATTTGAAGCTTTGCGGCATCGAGATCGAAGTTCAATAGCGAGGATGGTCGGAGATGGGATTGCTAAGCCCGACCCCGGAGGTCTTGGTGCGGAGAGGTCGACAGTGCCGGTAGACGCGGGCGTGCAATGCTGCAAGCTGAGCTTAGACGAACGCCCGCGTCCGGAGAAGCTTGGGCAGTTGTGACTTCGTGCATTCTCTCGAGTTTGTCTGCTCTCAGGACCAGGTACAGTCACCGCCCCATCCCATCCTTCAAGATCGTCTGTGTCCCCACGAGCATCGCCCCGCTTACACTCATAGGATGGAAAAGTTGGAAGCATACACTCACATTGATGGCGGAAAGCTTGGCGGCGTCATGCCCATCGCCGGTGCGCATGGTGCAGAGCGGCTAGCTGATGCAGAGGATGCTTGAAGCGCGCGGATGTCGCACGCGAGTCGGGGCTTGCTGGGCGTTCTAAGGTAAGAGCTCTCCGCAGTGGGTGGGGGGGTCGCGAGATCGGGTAGAAACCTTGTCAGAAGCGCGCGAGTACGATCTGCGTCTATGGTCACCCTGCCGAAAAAGGTCGGGTTGTGGAAAGCTTCTTTGGGGCTGCTGTTAGGCAAGGCTGAGCATACCGTGTACTGTACGGTTCCGTACCTGTTGGTATGAGCGCGTATGCTGCTGATTGCGAGACGCGAGATCCACGCGACGCTGCCACCATCCATGCACTCCGCGTGCGCAGCTAATAGCACCACACCGGCCCCGCGACGGTCGAGTCGCGCTTTTTGGTTTTTGCAGCTTTGCGCGCAGCGATGAGATCCGGGATCGATGCGCGTGCAGCATGTTCGCGCGGCGGTGGTGCTGCTGAGGCGCTGCCGCGACGCGCCGCGCCGCGTGTTGTAATCAGCCGTAATTGACGCGTTTGCAAGCGCACTGGCGAGGTTCAACGCACCAGCAGCAGCACCATCCCAACATGCAGGAGCTGCTCTTCCATATCCAGCGGCGAACCTCCTCACGACACCCACAGCAAGCCCCCCGTCAAGCTTGACCGAAACTACTGTATCAATTGGCCTTGCTTCGAGAGCATCTCTCTCCACGCCGTGCCGCCCTAGGTGCTGGCGCCTCAAAGCGCTGCTCGAAGCTGACCTCAGGTCACCTGTGTTACTCTTCACGAGTGCACGCATTTAGATTCGTCGCTTTGATCGACTCCTGCAAGGCGATCACCTTTTCTTAGCGCGCTCACACACGCAACAAGGCTTCAGGGCCTAGCTTAGCCGCTCGAGATGCCGCTCGTTCAACTTGAAGTCGAGAATTTCAAGTCGTATCGGGGCAAGCAGATCATCGGTCCTTTCAATAGCTTCACAGCCATCAGTGAGTGCGCGGGACATATTCGAGAGCGCTATTGACTTCCCTACTAAAAATGTTCTTGCCTCGTGCTGCACAGTCGGCCCCAATGGAAGTGGCAAATCGAACCTAATGGACGCGGTGTCCTTCGTCCTTGGTGTAAAGTCGGCGCAGCTCAGATCGAGCCAGCTGAAAGATCTCATATACCGCGGAAGAAAGATGGCTCGCGAAGAAGGCGATGAAGAGGCCGAAGCTCTACGTTCTGATGAGGAGGACGAAGGAGAAGGGACGGCTGGCAAAGCGAGCGTTAGCGCGGTGTACAGAGACAAACAAGGCGCAGAGTGGCGCTTCACACGAAAGTGAGTCTCGTCACCGAGTGTACCGGTAAATGCGCTGCACTCAACGCTCACGCCTTTCGGTCACCCGCATAGCATCACATCTTCGGGCGCATCAGAGTACCGCGTCAACAACAAAGTGCATTCTTGGAACAGCTACAACGATCGACTGCGGTCCTTCAACATTCTCGTCAAGGCGAAGAACTTCCTCGTCTTCCAAGGCGACGTCGAGGCTGTCGCGCAGCAAGGTCCAAAGGAGCTCAGCCGGCTGATTGATCAGATCTCGGGGTCTTTGGAATACAAAGAGGCTTACGAGGCCGCCAAAGCCGCACAAGATCGCGCAATCGAGCAGTCGACCTACTCGTTCAACAAGCGCAGGGGTATCAATGGGGAGCTTAAGACGTACCGAGAGCAAAAGAGTGAAGCGGAAAAGTGGGAGCGTCTGCAAAGCGAGCGTGACGCACACATTTTGCAGCACATACTCTGGCGACTATACCACATCGAAGAGGAACTAGAACAAACATCCTCGACCATCGATTCGGAAAGCAGCAAGCTTCCACAGTTGAGGAAGCAGGTGCGTGACGAAGAATCGCATGTGGAGCAGGCGCGCAAGGAGGTCGCACAACTCGACAAAGACATCGCGAAACAAGAAAGCTCCTTGCGCAAGCGAGAGCGCGAGCTCGAGGCTCTGCAGCCGAGCATTGGAGCTATCGACGAGAAGATTGCCCACTCAAATAGGAGACGCACAAATGCCGAGGAATTGTGTGTAAGCGTAGAGCGCGACGTAGAGCGCTTGACTGCACGAATTGCCAAACTTCGTCGAGACCACGACTCCGCTAAAGACGCCGCAGACGAGGCAGCCGAGGAGCAGCGGCGAGCAGCGCAAGAGAGAGGTCAAGCGCTGAGTGGCCAAGAGCTCGCCGAGTATCACGAGCTCAAAGCACAGGCTAACTTACGCGCTACGGCGGAGAGGCAGCAGCTTGAGACGCTTTCGCGAGACATTCGCGCAAACAAGGCTACCGCCGATGAGCTCGACGAAAAGCTGAAGGCGCTTCAGCGCGCCAAGGAGAAGCAGGAAGCAATCTCCGAAAGCCAAAAGGAGCGGAAGCAGGCCCTGGAGGGACGTGCTCGTCAAGTCGAGAAAAGCTTGAAAGACGCCAGAAACGAGTTGACGCGCGTCCAAAAGCAGCGCGCTGACATTGTCAAGCGCGAGGACGAGCTCAACAAGACGCTGGAAGACTGCGTCAACAAACTGTTGCAAGCGGGTAGCGACGCAAGGGAGACTGAAAGAGAAATGCGCATGAAAGAGACCTATGCAGCTCTTGCGCGCATGTTCCCGGGAGTTCACGGCCGCCTCGCGGATCTCTGCAAGCCAGTGCAGCGCAAGTACGACACAGCAATCTCCACGGTGTTAGGGCGCAACAACGATGCTCTAATTGTCGACAACGAAAAGACAGCAATCGACTGCATTGAATACTTGCGAAGCCAGCGCGCTGGTCAAGCCACGTTCATCCCACTCGACACCATTCAAGTCAAGCCAATCAACGATCGCCTCAGAAACATCGCATCTGGTGCACGTCTGGCGGTAGACGTTCTGCAATTCGATGCCGCTGTCGAGCGCGCGATGCATTTTGCGTGCGGTAATGCCGTAGTATGCGACTCTATGCCTATCGCTCGCTTCGTATGCTACGAGAAGAAGGTTGAGGTCAAAGCGGTCACGCTAGACGGAACGTTGATCCACAAAAGCGGCAACATCACCGGTGGTGTGACGGCTGGCGAAAGGACGCACCGATGGGAAGAGCGAGAGGTTGACGGGCTGGGCCGTCAGCGAGATCAATGCCTGGCAGAACTGAAGGAGCTCGGCAAGCAGCGGTATGAGCTGTCGCAAGACGATGACCTGCGCTCGAGTCTGCAACGCAGCGAGGCGGATTTGTCCACACTGCGCGATGAGCTAACCGAAGTCAACAGCCGTCTTGACGGCGCCCGCGATGAGCTCAAGATCATCAATTCTCAAATCAAAGACACGACCGGGCGTTTCAACAAAGCCCGCACGGCTCAACAAGACGCGGAGAATCGCGCAACTGGTCTGATGGATACCGTCGAAGGAGCAGATGATGCAGTCTTCGGAGCCTTCTGTCAGCGAATTGGCGTGCCCAACATCCGGGCGTACGAAGCACGACAACTGCGCGTTCTGGAACAACAAAGCCAGGCGCGTCTGAAGTATGAGGAGCAAATGAAGCGACTCGATCACCAAATCAGATTCGAAGAACGCCAATTGGCCGATGCGGAAGAGCGACTTGAGCTCAACCGCAGAGTCATCACAAAGGAAGCTGAACGCGTACAAGCTCGACGAGCCGAGAAAGAGGAGTTGGAAGCGCAGATCCAGGAGCTGCAGGAGAGAATCGAGCAAGTTAACGAGCGTCTGGCGGAGTTGCGCGAGCAGCAACAGCAGCGCTTGAAGGCTCTCTCGGAAGCCAAGAAAAACGAAATTTTGGCGAACAAAACCCTTGGCGCAAAAGTGACTGAAATCTCGAGATGCAATGACGTGATTGAAAAGCTTAGCGCAGAGCGCTCTTCCATCTATCGCCGATGCCGACTTGAGGAGATCGATCTGCCTCTCAAGCAAGGAAGTCTGAGCTCCATTCCGTTGGAAGACAATCCGGATCTTGCTCCCATGGATATTGATGAGGATGTCACGCAGCGCGCGATCGAAGCGGCAGATTACGGAATCGAAGTTGACTTCACTGATCTCGACGACGAGGAGAAAGCAGACGGAGGTGAAGATATGGCAAAAGAGCTTCAAGGACGCATCGACGATGTGATTGCGCAGATCGAGCAAATGCAACCCAACATGAAGGCCATCGAGCGACTAGATGATGCTGAGCTTAAGCTCAAGGAGACGGAGAAGGAGTTTGCGAGATCGAGAAATGATGCTCAAAAGGCTCGCGACGAGTTCAATCGCATCAAGAAGAAACGCTGCGACCTGTTCAACGCTGCGTTTTCTCACATTTCTGAACGCATCGACTCGACGTACAAGGAGCTCACCAAAGGCAAGGCGTCTCCTATGGGTGGTGTTGCGTACCTCTCGCTCGAAGACTCTGATGAACCTTATCTCTCGGGAGTGCGCTACCACATCATGCCGCCAATGAAACGCTTCCGAGACATGTCGGACCTGTCCGGAGGAGAGAAGACGATTGGTGCGCTCGCACTGCTTTTCGCTATATCGACCTTCCGTGCGCCCCCTCTATGGATTCTGGACGAGGTGGACGCCGCACTCGACTCGACCAACGTCAGCAGAGTAGCCAATTACCTTCGTTCTCACGCCTCGGATCAGACTCAATTCATCGTCATCTCCTTGAAGGCCTCCATGTATGAGCGAGCGAGCTCGCTTTGCGGCATCTACCGCCAACAAGATATCAACAGCTCCAGAAGCTTGACCCTTGATCTGGATGCCTACGCCTAGCGGCGACTTTTGGCGATCGATGTCCCGACCGGTCATTTTCTTCTCGGTGCATCTTGGCACCCCGCGCGCGCGCTATATCGTTGATGTACTGTACAGCTTCCGCCCCACGTGAGCGTAATGAATTGGATCTCCTGATTCGCCGTCGGAATTGAAGCTTCCATTCTAGTTGAGGCTCCGACGTTGGTCTGCGCCGAGTAGTGGCTCGCAGGAAGGCGCCGATTGCGATGAAGGCACTCCGCCTGTTGCGTGCGTGCCGTCAGACCCTCAGTCCTGGCGCGCTACTCTGCACCGAGCTTCGCCGAGCGGAGCCTACCTCAGCTTGCGGTACTTCCATCAAAAGGATGCTGGGCGTGCAGAACAAGAAGGTCTCCCTGTTGTGCTTTGCTTCTGGGATACTTTAGCATCCTTCGTCCTCGTGCGAAAGAACGCTGTGTGATTTGGAGATCAACAATGTGATGCTGGGTACATTTGCGATGTCCATGGCCATGTGACGGCGATCGGCTGGGCATATCCGGGCGATGAACATGATCGGAGGACCAGCACGTCTGCAGCACTTGAGGTACTGGAGGACCGCGCGTCCTAATTTCTAAGCCTCTTCTTCGAACTCTCGCAGGCTCGCAGCGCCTTGACACACAAGAGAATCGCGAAAAAAAATCTCCTGTTTCTCTTTAAGCTCATCAAGATGTGTGACCATGCTGAGTTGAGTCAATGAGAGGGTCATTGCTGGAGGCGTCTGTCTGAGGAGGGGTGTGGCTTGCATTTAAAATGTGTCTGGCTCAACTCCGACCGGGCCGTAGTGGAGGAGACTCGTGGCTCTTCTAATGCTCTCGCCTTTCTGCCACCACACTCACTGACGGCTGCACTCACTCGACCGCACCAGCTGCATCGAGATGCATAGATTGCTGAGGGATGAATGTATACCTACACGAGTGATGCGAGACAGCAGCACTCATGCAGTCGTGACTCGGGAGTGCTCGCGGCACTGCATCGAGCCAAAGTGGCAGCCCCTAGCCACTCACGGCTACTGCATGTGACTTGAGTCATCCCGCATATACGCGCGTGCATGCGGTGTTCAGCAGGGCAGCCTGCAGCAGGGCCCAGCAAGCTACAGTCACGAGTCACTCTGATCAATGACTACAGCGGTCACTGCGAAGAGTCTCAAGAAAGGACCGGACCGGATCGCTTCGCAGACCCGCGCGGGTAAGACGCGCTTCTTCACGCGATTCAGATCGTTTTTGACTCACCGTTCGTGATTGTGACAGCCCGAACGGAACGTAGATCTGGCTGTATAGACATCTCTGCAGTGCTCGCACCAGGGAGAGAGAGGTCATGCATTTGCAGCACTCTGATGGGCTCGTTTGGAACAAGCGGCAGCAGCAGCTGGCTTGCACGGAAACAACAACAATATACGCGCCACGGAAGAGCAGCTATTCAGTGCGGAGTTGAAGCTCATCGATCGCTGCATACAGCTACCGGTGCAGAGCGCGCCCGACCAGAGACGCGCGCTTGGCTCCAGCTGCCTTTATTCTCCCTTCGCAGCAAAACACAATATTCATTCGCTCGTTCACTCATCCGCTCATCCGCTCAGTCTCATGACTGCCAGTCAAGTAAGCAGCGTCTAGCCCAAATATCCCCAGTCTCTCTGTGTGTCGCATCTGCCTAGACAAGGAGCGATTACGACCACCTACCACCACCACCTTTGCCACACCGCCATCCTTTTGTGCGACAGAGTCTAGACATCGGCGCACATCCGACAAAGACCAATCGGCTCCTTTCAATACCATACCCTACTGCTAGGCTCGTGAGCTGTCATCCCCGCTCATCTCCTCTTCAATTTCTCCGTCACTGTCCGTCGAAGAGCTGCACCCGTAGAGCGCTCGTCTGAAGCGAGCGCTTCTACCACCCGGCTAGCCACCACGTCGCCATCCCGCAAACGTCCGGCTTCATCTCAAGGGGGGCCTGAAGAGGAGGCTTCGCAAGGATCAGAACCCAGCGGCCACGCACGCGGTATCAGCGCTGGGGGGAAGTCTGGAGGAGGGGCATCACAGCCCTCGCCTGCAGGCGGGGCGCGACAGGAAGCGAGCAGGAAAAAGCGCATCACTCCTCCACCTCCCCAAGGTCTTGACCAAGCGGTCAGGCCCATTCCACCCAAGTTCGAGCGCAGACGCTCTGGACTCTCTCCGAGCAGACGCGCAGCGGTCAACGCCAGCAGTCCGCGCAGTAGTGGTACGGCGAGCGTTGAATTCGAGAGGAGGGGCAGCGTAGCGAGCTTCACCTCTCAAGGGTCAGAGACTGCCCCGATTGCTGCCCTTGTTGGCCCCTCGACGAATCCATCGGGATCGGTGCAAGCGACTCTCGCTCCACTTTCTGCTCCTGCCACCGCTGCAATCCACGATCCAGCTGCTGCGGCAGCCCTCTTGGGAGTCGCTTCTCACACCGGCCCTCGGCCCCGCACTGTAGCTGCTGCAGTCGAAGCGGCAATAGCTTCACCTCAATTTCGCGTCCCTGCGACACCATCAGAGCAAGCAAGGGCACAAATCAGCGAAGAAGCAGCGGTCCCGTCTGCACACACGCACGGCAGTCGGTCGAGCTCAATCAGCCTATCCGCTCCGCAAATTTCGGAATCCAGCCCGCAGACGCATTTCAGAGGGTTTAGTGCGGCTGCTGCGAACGCTGCGTTTAGAGCAGCTGCCGATTCCGCAAGCACAGCTACGAGCGGTGCGAAGCCGACGGGAACTGCAGCGTCACAAAGTACGAGGCGTGGGGTGACTGCCATCGCCACTCAGACTGGACCTTCGCGAGGGCGTGCCAGTGCAAATAGCGCACACCCAACCCCGCAATCTGCGGAAGCCTACGCTTCCTCGCCGCCTGGTCGCTACACGCAAACCTCTTCGGCTTCTTCGCCTGATCAAGTCTTTCACGGAGCTGGGTCTCCCGGACATTCAACCGCGGGCAGTCGAGACTCGCCTTCGTACACGGGCGTCGTTCGCGGAGCTCCGGCTGTTTACGCCGATCGCAACTACGTCACCAGCGCTCACTTCGAATCGCCCGCTAGCAGCAGCTATTCGAGTCCTCCTGCCGGGGCAAGCTCTACAGTTCCTCGAGCTCCTTCTTTCGAGATGCTCGATCTCGACGAGACACTTCGTGCACTCTACTTTGCGCCTTTGCCTTTGATTGTACTGGACAACAATCGTACTGTGCGACTATGCAATCGACCTGCTGAGAATGTGAGTTAATTTCGGAAGCCCCGATCGAATTCAAACAGATGTCTTTCGCGAGGGTCGCTGACATTTTCCCGACCTTCTGCGATTTGACAGCTCCTTCAAGTAGCTGCACCGGCGTGCACGGGGCAGCGATTTGAGAGCTTAGTTGCGCCAACATCTCGGAACACCCTCACTTTAGCTCTCAACGAGGCGGTAAGTCGACAAGGCCAGATTTCAGCACTGCATGGTATTGATGCAGTGGGTGCTTACATCGGCACCTTGCCACGCCGCGCAGACTCAAACAGTGGAAAAATGGACAGGTCCGACGACGACGCGAGTTTTGATGCGCACCGGGGAAGAGCAGCAGCCGCTGCAGTGCGACCTCAGCATCAGTGCTTGGGTGAGTACCTTTCAGGGCGTTGTATCGTCTTGACATCTCGCCGCTAACAGTCATCACGAATCCTACCGTGAATAGGGAACATCTGACCAAATGTTTTCCCCTGCTGATGGCGGCCATGCCTTTTTGAATCGAGAGGCTTCCTCAGCAGACAAGGCTGCCGGCGCGTCTACCGCCGCCGTCTTGTCACCCCGGACAACACCTCGAAGCGTCCCTGCTGAAGACCAAAGTTCCCCGCCCAATGGTCGCTCCGAAGCTTTGGCTAGCACGTCAGCGCACCACCTCCCTCATGAGTCGATGTTCACAATCTCCATTGCGCCAATGTGAGTCTAGGGCACTGCATTTCTCGTGAACAGTGGAAGCTGACCACTGCGCAATGGCGCTTTCAGTCGGACTGGGGAGAGGCGCTCTAGTCCAGGGGGAGGTCACCTGACCAAAGCGGACATGCTACGCGAAAGTGTCCTGCATACAATCGAAGTGCCCATGCTTGCCTTGAACTGCGAAGGCTCTACGATGATCACGAATCGTGCAGCCAATGATGTGCTAAGCATTTTCAGACGACAGCAACCAGTCAAGAGAGAGAAGAAGGATGGCGATTCAATGCACGACCCTAATGTGGTCAACACGGAAATCGATCTGACGTGGATCACCGAGAATATGGACTGCTACGACGAGAACTTTGAGCACCGTATCCCCGAAAGCGAGTTCCCAATCTATCGCGCAACGGTTTTGGCGCAGCCCACCGCTGCTAAAGTCATGGGTATCCAAAATCCTTTCACTGGTCGCCGCATCGTCATGGAGATCTCTGGTCGGCCGATACGTGACAACGGAGGCTTTGGGGAGCACATTGGCGGCCTGATCACCTTCCGCGACGTCACCGACGAGCGTGCCAAGCGCGAAGAAGACATCCAGGAACAGGGTGATGCTTACTTTAAGCAGCTGTGCGACGCCATGCCCCAGCTTGTATGGGTGACTACTCCTACTGGCTTTGTCGAATGGTATTCGAAGGCGTGGTACGACTACACTGGTCAGGACGCGCAGGACGCGCAAGGCGTCGGATGGGGCTCTGTCCTTGCTCCTGAAGTGCGTAGTCTTGGTGGGGAACACGTGGGACGGCGACTGATGCTCTACATTTACTTCGAACAGGACGTGCCCGAGACCAATCGGAGGTGGAGCCACTCTTTGCGTACTGGGGAACAGTATGAGACAGCTTACCGGTGCAAGAGAAAGGATGGCGTGTACAGATGGTTCTTGGGTCGAGCACGCCCGTTCCGTGATGCGCGTACTGGTGCTATCAAAGTGAGTCTGGTCGCGTAAGAACACTCGGGAGCAGGACTCACTCGCAATGTCTTCTCAAAAGGGCTGGGCTGGCTCTTGTACGGACATCCATGATCAGGTAGAGGCGCTTGCTGCAAGTCGCCAGGCCCAGACTCAACTAGAAAGCGTCATCAATCAGGCTGCCATGACCCTCTGGGCGATAGATAGAGAAGGAGTTGTAACTGTGGCTGAAGGTCCAGGCGTGCGTCAGCTCAAGCTCATGGCGCCCACCACACCAATGGGCTCCGAGCGTGACGTGAGTACGAGCCAAGCAGATCGCGCGAGCGAAGACGGCATGCAGATGCAAGCCTCCAGCAATAGCAACAGCAACAGCAATAGCAACAGCAGCAACAGCAGACATCGCCATTCGATGATCGGGCGCAGCGTCTACGATGTTTGGAACTCCGTCGAAATCAGATTGGCCATCCAGAAGGCGCTAGCCGGCGAATCCGTCGTCGAAGAGATGGAAATCGAAGGGCGGCACTTTAGAACGAGCTACAATCCTCTGCGAGCCTCTGACCCAGAGGCACCGATCGCAGGCTTGCCCACAGAAACCTATGAGAGTGAGATCATAGGAGTCGTTGGATCGTCGATGGACATTACCGAGCGCAAGCGAGCTCAGATCAGGATGGAGGAAAGCTTGATCGAAAAGTCCCGCGCACTGGCAGCTGAAGGCGCAGCTAGGGAAGCGAGCCGACTAAAGTCGGAGTTTTTGGCGAACATGTCTCACGAGATTCGCACTCCCATTGCTGGTGTGATTGGTCTGTCCGAGCTGCTGCTGGACGAGAAGCTCACGACTCAACAGCGTGACTATGCAGAGACGATTCAAAGATCGGCGGAAGGCCTACTGACGGTCATCAACGATGTGCTCGACTTTTCGAAGGTCGAGATAGGCAAATTAGACGTGGAAAGAGCTCCGTTCAATTTGGAGGTCGTTTTGCGCGATCAAAAACGGATGTTGAGCTTTGCCACGCAAAAGAAAGGGCTAGACTTCCGGGACTCCGTCAGATTAGGCTACAAGGGTATGCTGCTTGGTGACGCGGGTCGCCTGCGTCAAGTCATCACAAACATTCTCACCAACGCTATCAAGTTCACGTCGGAAGGATACATATCTTTGGATGTTGCAGAGGTCAAAGAAGATGCTGAGCACCTCACTGTGCGATTTGATGTTCGCGATACCGGTTGCGGCATTTCCACCGAAGTTCTATCTCGCCTCTTCCAACCTTTTAGTCAAGCAGATCCTTCCACTGCTAGACGATTCGGAGGCACTGGTCTGGGCTTGAGCATCTCCAAAAATCTCGTCGAGCTCATGCACGGCAAGATCGGCCTGAACTCGGTTGAGGGGCAGGGTTCTCACGCATGGTTCTGGGTACCCTTCCTAAAGGCCAAAGAAGCCTCCATCAGCGACATGGATGAGAAGACGTCTGCGAAAGTGCTAGCCGATTCGGCAGCCGGCAACGTGGGCATGCCAGGACTTGAGCGCAATCCTTTGTCGCGGCCACGCAAGGACATTTGGATCCTCATCGCAGAGGACAATTTGGTCAATGCGCAAATCGCGAGCAAGAACCTCCGCAAGATGGGCTTCAGCTGTCGAACGGCTGAAAACGGCAAGCTTGCCCTGGACGAGTTGGGCCGTAACACGTACGATGCAGGTGAGACGCTCAATAGGTGCAAGCATACATGTATCTTGAGCTGATCCCCCGGCCGTTTGTCTATCTCAGTGCTCATGGACTGTCAAATGCCAGAGGTGAGCAGAGATACATGGGACGTTGCAAAATGTCCTCTGACGATTATCGTGCTCCACAGATGGACGGTTATGAAGCAACGCGACTTATTCGAGCTTCACAAAATACCGACACGAGAAGTTTGCCGGTCATTGCTTTGACCGCTTCTGCGATCAAAGGCGATCGAGAGCGAGCGCTGGAAGCTGGAATGAATGACTACATCTCCAAGGTGCGCTGCAGTCCGGGATTTTGCGATGCGCACCTCATTTGTGGTCACTCGCGCCGCTATGGTTGATACTGACATTGCTCGCATGTCCACTTTTGAGCGCAGCCTGTAAAGCGTCCTCTGTTGGAGTCTACCTTGTGCAGATGGCTCTACGATCAGGACGCCCGCCAAAGCCTTTCGAGGTATTCAAATCCTCCTTTGTCGCCTACGCCTCAGGACGCGACTTCCGAAACGGCGCCGGCAGTTTCTACGGCCTCGGGCACCAGCGCGCCTCTGACCTCACAGGCAATACAAGCTTCGCATGATGTTGGACCCTCGCCACGAAGCCAGGAAGACACGATGGGTCTAGGTGCCCCGGGCAAGTCACCGGGTCTTTCCCCGAGCAGCACTGTCAGTCAAGTTCAACGCACTCTTAAAGTGAACACCTCAGATGCTTTGACCACGGCAGCAGAGCTCTTGGCCGCTCGGCGCGCGTCCGACGAAGGGTCGCCAAGCGTGAGGTTGAGACGACCACCTCTAGGGTCAAGAAGCCACTCGCACAACCCCAGCTCCACAACTAGCGAAGAGTCGCTCTCTTATGTCAAGATGACGGGCGCCAAGTCGTACCAGCAAGCAGCGCCGCCAGGGGTGCCGCGGATGGTCCGTCGATCAAGCCGAGAACAAGGAGGAATGGGAAGAGATTTGGAAGGCGAAGTGCTGAAAGCTGTGGCTGGACTGGCTAGCGAGCCCAGGCTGGAAGCGGCGATGGAGAATTCGGAGGGGGAACAATTTGAGCAACTGCTTGCTCAGGCGCACGCGCAAGCGGCGGGAGATACTTCTAGCGACACTCTACCTCATATTACGGACCAACAAGTCGACGCGGACGGCGACTCGCCCATGCCCGACGCTGTGCACGGCCCGTAATCGCCATCAGGATGTGTCAATCCCGGCACGGACGAGCCTGTGACATTGGACTGCATGCATCTCTTCGACATTCTTCCGTCTTTGATTTCGTGGGAACTTTTTGCTTCATGTGCACAGTATTCTTTTCTCTCGTATGCAGAAAAGCGACCTTTCCTCAGTTTTGACTGTGCAGCATCTCCTTGGCCACGCATGTATCCATGTATCCTCTGCCATGATGCCGCAGTAGAAGAATGCCATGGCTCTTTGGTGTCATACAGGATTTCGCTGTGGGATGAAGCTGCATAAAAGCGAGCACAGAGACATTGCTGGCAGTCCCTTGACCTGTTGTGGGACCTGCGATTATCAAATCGTGCACGACCTCGTATCACACCGCTCGCCGGTCGAGCCGCCAGGCTTCTCAAGGCGAGCTGGAGGTCTGGTCAGTCGTCTGTTTGAAGCTTGTGTGGAGTTGTGAAAGTTTGGTCCGGACGTCGCAGCATGCACCCGAACGCTTCCTGATGCTGCATCCGTCGTCACCTGCCGGACCGCCAGTGAACAAGCAAATCCCGCGTGCAGCTCTTCAAAATCAATATGAATTGACATCTTGAGCTGTGAGCTTGAGTGCAGCTATGGACATTCCGCGCATGGTCGCGTACAGCGCAAGCCTTAGATGCCAGCTGTGATTCCTTTACTACCTCCGCCTACTCTGCCACTGAGCGGAATCACCTCTCCACTCTTGTCCAGTACCGCTTCAAACCTTTGAATAACAAAGAGCTTCTCTTGAGAAGGTCTGTAGGATTTGAAGTAGATCGTTGCAGTCTCCTCTGAGCGGGTGACAAGAAGAGTGAGAAGGCGTGAGCGGAGAGCAGAGGTTTCAGGTTGAGAGTGAAAAACGCGGAGCTCACCAGAAGGTCCTTTGACCTGAAAGTTAATGTCTATCCGGCCTTGCATCATATTGATCTGGAACACAGCACCAGAAGAGATGACAAAGATGTCAATCATCAAAGGGCGAACAGAGACTTGTTTGCAGGGCGGATGACATTGACTCGCACTCACACCACCACCGACCCAAGCATGGCCCAGTAACCAGGAGCTCCTGACCAATCTAACGTCTCCTAAATCAGCATCCACTTCATCTAGACTAGCGATCTTTCCCACGCCCAACCTCTTTCTTAGCGATACATTCTCCTTTGCCTGATCCAGCGCAGCCCTCAAAACACTGCTGCTCAGTCGCTCCTTGTTGGTTGCGTGTGCTGTGAAGAGCGCCCAGGAGGAGAGAATTGCTGTACCTAGACCTATGGCCCAGAGCACACGACTGGAAGTGGATGGTAGGGACGGCAAAGAACGAGGAGAGGCATAGGGACGTGAGGCGTCCGTTGCTAGCCTTTGTGATTGATGTCGCGTCTGCGAAGGGTTGCATTGGCTTGAGCTTGAGGCGAAGCCCTTCTGATCGGCCCTAGTATCCAGACGGCGGAAGTTCTTGCCCAGGCTTGGCGCGCTGGCAGCATCAACGCGAGCTCGGGCTGTCATGCTATCCAACCCGTGAGCAGTGGATCGAGAATGAAGGCGACGTAGCTGGTACATGCCGTGAGGCCGCAAGGGTGGTCCAGAAGCTCGCAGAGGCGCCCTTAGAGCAGCGCATGCCCCCTGAATGGGAAACGCAGAAGACATCTTCAAGGCAGGTCACAGTTGTGAGGAAGGCTGTATGCACGAAGCCCCGGATTCTCTTCACGCCCGCTGCTTGCTACGCCGAGGTGAAGTGCACCAAATCCGCAGGATCTTGAAACTCGGCAAGTTGAGGTGAACAGCGACTGATGAGCTGCTGTAGTCAAGAGGAACGCCAGTCAGAAGATTGTCTTTGCTCCGCACACAGGCAGCCCAGCCAGCTCAAATGGTGCACCTCCACCGCCGTGCAACGATTGACCACAGATTTGGATGTTTTGCGCGCGGGCGGTGGACGACGCTCCGATGGCATGTCACGTGACTGCTCCGGGCCAGTAGTTCGCGCGAAAGCGAGAAAAAAGTCGTGAGAGATGCGCAAGGGAACAGGGAAATTGACTTTGCAGACAGAACAGAGGGGATTCGAGTACTCACACTTCCAGCTCTCTACAACAAATCACACTCAAAACTTGACTCACGACTCAACTGATGGATCGTGGATCGAAGGGGCTTCGATGACGATTACGCATTCGTGATTCTCATATATCGATCACTCAAAGCTCCAAAGCTGCACAACTCATAATTGGACCCCACCACTGCCTCGCACCCGACATTGACAGCTGCGCGAAGCGTTCCGCATAGCGTACTTCCGAAGAAAGGCCTGTGCTTTGCCGCAAAGCCATGCCGAAGCGCTCCAAGGTCGCAGGGCCTTCGACGTCGCCCGAAGCGCAAGATGAAATCTCGGCGCTCGAATCATCCTCTCGTCCCAGCGCTGCTGTCAAATTACGACCTTCCAAACGCGCGGGTTTGCCACCTACCGCCGAGGAGAGCAGGTTAGCGAGCTCCCTGTTTGGCACGCCTGCTTCGAATGACGGGCGCCAAGACGAACGGAAGAGGCGAAGGCTTGATGCGCTGGAGCAGAAGGAGACGGGCAGGGAACATGTCTTGGATGAGGATGTGAGTGGTCAACCATGCGGGGGCTCGAGCGTTGCTCATTGACCCTCGGCCCATTTCGCAGCTCTTTACGATTGAAGGCGTGGGAAGCGAAAGTGAACTGGAGGAGGAGAAAGAGCGCAGCGGAGACTTTAGCGATGACGGCGACGACCATACCGAGGCTACAGAGCTTGAGGATGATGCCGCACACGGCGAGTCTGATCATGAAGCAAAAGAAGGGGGCGCACTTCAATCAGACTCGGACTCCGCAGAAGAAGGCGAAGAATCAGATCCTCGCATACTTCCAACGACGACTCGGCGACCTGCCTGGACTGATTCGGCACTCTCATCACTACAAGTGGCGCTGGCGGGCCCATCTGCTCGCGCTATGGATGGCTCTTTCGTGGGGACAAAGCGGCTGAGGAAGTTGCGAAATGATCCTGATGAGACGCACGTCTCCGGCGTAGAGTACGAGAGGAGGCTTCGAGAGATGTGAGTGTAGGCTCATCAGCAGTCACCGGACTCAGGCTTTGGAAGCTCGGTTGAGCCCGCCCAATGCCTGAGACTGCGAGTAAATTGGCGGTCAATGCAGGTCAAGTGGCATTGTGTCTGACCCGATTTCGCTTGGCCTCTATCATCGCAGGTACGAGCGTTTACATCCTCGACCAGCGTGGGCAAAGCCCGCTGCAAGCGCTTCCAACAACGTCACGAATGCAGCGTTGTCCTCTCTACTCTCAAAAGCTGGAACGCTGGTTAGGCCCACCAAGCAGACCAAGCAAGCACCTCTCCCCCGAGAGAAGATTCAGCTGCGAAGAGCTAGGGATGCGAATCAGGTCGTAACTTCTTCTGCGGGTCAGGATGGAGCAGCAGCTCTGGCTGGCATCGAGTGCATTGATTGGCACCCCTCGACGAGGACCAGGTTGATGCTCACTGCTAGCAGAGATAGGATAGTCAGGCTCTTTGAGGTGAGACATGGCAGTGATTGCGACTTGTATCTTCTAGGCTAAGAAGTCAGTTCTCTGCTATCGCGTTCAGATTGACGGCACGACAAATCCCCTCTTGCAGTCGTTATCTGTTCCATCGCTACCCTTGACCCGTGCTTCTTTTCATCCCAGCGGCAGCAGCATCTTGCTTGCGGGTCCACGGCCGTACCTTTACGCATACGATCTCCAATCTGGAAGATCGATTCGATCGACACCATGGAGAGGTGGTGGAGCGCACAGCGATGCGGATAGCGCTGAACGAGATCTGAGTTTTGCTAGGTTCCAACCCGATCGTGCAACAGGTGGCAGTGGCAGACTGTTGGCCGTTGGAGGCAGAAGAGGTGCTGTTCATCTGCTGGACTGGGGATCTGGATCGTCCGGAGGAGGTGCGGCTGGGGGAGGAGGGGCGGGTCTGGCGTCCACGCTGAGATCCAACTCTGCCGTGTGTGGCATGTCGTGGGATCAGAGCCCGAGCGCCGGAGGCAATCGATTATTGACGCTAAACCAGGGCGGTACGGTGCACGTGTGGGACGTGAGAAGTATGAGGGCGCAAGTGGAAAGGAGGGATGTGGACCTGTTCGCTCCCAAAGGACTCGAAGGAAACTGCGACGCCACGCTCTGGGCAGCTGGAAGCGAAGGAGGCGTCGTATCTATCTATGACAAAGAACTTGCAAAGGTGGATAAGGGGCAGGATGATGCGGCGCACATTGGCACCGTGTCGGCCAGAAAGACCATCGAAAACCTCAAGACCAGCATTACTAGCATGAAGTGGAACCACGATGGATCAGTATTGGCCTTAGCAAGCAGGAACGTCAAGGATGCTCTGAGGCTGGTGAGTGTCGCCGTGATGCGCGCTCAGGCGGTTTCATTGAAGCCACACTGACAGTCTCGATCCGAACCCCCTCTCTCTCAGGTGCACGCTCCTACCCTGACAGCCTTTTCGAATTGGCCAACTTCCAGCACTCCTTTGGGACACGTGACCGATTTAGCCTTTTCCAACGCTTCCGAGTACCTTGCTGTGGCCAACAGCCGTGGCAAGGTGCTCCTGTATGCTCTTTCACACTACAATGCTTGACGGATGTCACAGATCCGGATGCATGCCGAGCCGCTACTTTGCGGCAGATTTTGTCATGCCTTGTCAAACGTGGATTTCAGGCGTGAGGCGTGGAAAAGAATCTCGAAATTTGCATCCTGTGAAGGCATCCAACCGGAAATACTTAATCATGCTGTAGACGTTCGAATGGTGAGAGCGCTGACCAGCAGGGTGGCTAACAAACGGCATTGAGAAGACAGAAGCATCACGGAAAAGAAGGAGGAAGCAAAGCAGAGCCAAAGAGAAAGAAATTCAAAGGTAGAGCAAGTTGGACAGCGATGCATTGGCGGATCTGCGATACACCTCAATGTGTAGTCTTCTCCTGGCCTTTGGGCCCTGATCTCCATGTTACGGAACAAGATCACGAACTCATGGGGCACATTGCGGCTTACTGTACCTCTCACCGCCAAATTGCTGTTCATGCGTGTTGCCACCGCGACATCTTGCCCCCAAGATCTTGCGCTTCTGCTGTGCACTATCAACGTATCTCACGAGGTACTGGTCATCTTCTGCGCGGCTTCGTGCAAGAAGTCGCCTGCTGGCCAAGAGCCCTTCTCGTAGGGTGAGGCTCGTCGTCCGTCGAGGATGAATCGTCGCCATCAAGCATACTGTCGTCGTCGATGCCTCCCGCAGTGAATCTTAGGTGTGCGTCGGTGAGGCAAGGGTATTTACGATTCATGATCGAAGCGCGTCATCGCTGTCCGACGCATGCAGCAGCTGTCACTATGTGAATCACCTGCTCTACCCCGGGCTCCTTACGCAAATGAACACGTCCATTCATGACCGGCCGTTCATGATTCACGTTTCGTGCATTTCCTTGACTTGCGACTACAGACTCACACTTCTTTTAGCTACACGTTTGCTGCAAGTCGAAGCAATCGTGAATCTTGAATCAAGGGGGTTCGGTCACGTGACGCGCGAACAATTTTGAAACTTCGCGTTCTGCAGGCCTCTCTCATGCAGGACTTGCCACGCAGGACTTGGTTGGTTCGCGGCGTCGACTTGTCCTCATTGAATGCGCGGCGAACTTCGTTCACCTGGCTCACCCATACGCACGCCTCAGTTGCCTCACATTACCGGACGCAGTCGGCGCTCAGTATCCCGCCAGACGTTCGCTGCTCTGCGCTCGTCTTGCAAGACACACGCTACAGGTCTTCTTTCCCTTACCTCGTCGCCGTCTCGAAGCGGAGCTGCGGCGCCAACCCTCACCACTTGGCCACAGCACCCGTACTACTCGCACGTAGCACAGAACAGGGCGCCGATTGAAGCGCTCTCGTCATTGGAAGATGTCGTTGTTCTGCCCTACGTGTGCCAACGGGCTGCTGATAAGCACGGAGGGAGAAGGAAACAAATGGACCTGCCAAACTTGCCCTTACGAATTTCCCATCACCAAGCAAATGACTACGAGGGTCAGGCTGAGACGTAAGCAAGTGGACGATATCATGGGTGGAGAAGATGCTTGGAAGAATGTGGATGCTACGGATGGTGAGTCGCTCGAGAGCGGATGCGTCCTTGCGCAGGTGGCTCTGATCAACGTTGAAGTAGTGTGGGCCATCACGTGCCCATATAGAAGCTGCTAACCCGCCGCTCCGTCTCAAATGTCTGATGCTTCTCCGACCTTTGCGCGCTTCGATCTCATCCACAAGCCCCTTGTCCAAAATGCGAGAATCCCAAAGCTTTCTTCCTGCAGATTCAGATCAGATCAGCGGATGAGCCAAGTGAGTGTCGTCGCTCAAGTCGTGGTAGTGCGAGTGCAGCTTGAAGACAACAGCCCACGCGACAAAAGACTGAGTCTATCTCCACCAACAATGTGCTTCGCGATGCAGTGACGACATTTTACAGGTGCACCGAAAGGACATGTGGTCATCAGGTGAGTCTTTGCGCAAGAGTGTCGATTTGAGCGTGGGTCAGGGAAGGGAAACAGGGGGCCAACATCTGAAACGCAGCAAAGTCGAGGCTGACTGATACACAATTGTCACAACGTCTTCGCGTAGTGGCGAGAAGGATGAATGGCGTGTGGCTTTGGCAGCTCATCCTCACTCGTCAATCCTTCCGCTGCACGGCACCTTGATTGCTGCATCAAGAGACCACAAGCACGTCTACTCGACGTTCTTAGAGACCTCCAGATGCTCTGTTCAACAGCCACCAGACCAGCGTCCGCGTATTGCTGTCTGCACTCAGCGTTGTCTATAGAAACGGAGAGCTGCTGCCCTCGACATGAACAAGCATGTCTGAATCAAAAGCATGACTCTCGTTTCGCGCCTTGCGTTCTCCCCAGCTCGCGCATTCCCACCGCAATCATCAACTGTACCAGTATTTCAAGTCACTGCGCCTTTCACAGCACACAAAATTTCATGTGCGCATGCATACAAGCCATGCGCCAACAGATTGCATCGAGAAAGACTCGCGCTTTGAATGAGGGCTTCTATGGATAATTGAACACGTTGTACGCGGGTTCGAATCTGTCTTCCTGAGTTGTACCTATTGGCAGCCTCACTTTTCAGCAAGGTTGGAAACACCAGGCAGGTCCTTGCCCTCGAGCAGCTCGCTGTGATGAGGGCGTGCAAAAGCCTCGTGAGCAAAGCAGACGGCGGCTCTTGAAAGGGATGGAGAGTGCCATACTCACAGAGAAGCACCACCGCCAGTGCTGACGTGGCTGATGCCTTCCTCGGCCTTGTAGTTCGCAACAACGGTAGCTCTGAGGAGGAAGGTGTTGTTGCACAGAAGGTCAGCACAGGCGTAACCTTCGTGCGCGCCACTCCAAGCCTGTTACCTGCCACCGAGCGACCCAGACATTGATACCCACGTGTCTCCACCACCGACAATGACGGTCGCACCAGACTTTTCAGCTTCCAAGCAAGCGTCAAGCATGGCTTTGGATCCCTTTGCAAAGTTGGGGAATTCGAACACACCCGCCTACGCGGTTGAAGAGCATGAGAGGGGAAGGTCAGCCTGGTTCAAAAAGTCCCCCCAAACTCTGCGAGCTCAACTCACGGGTCCGTTCCACAGAATTGTCTTTGCGCTCTTGATGGCGTCCTTGAACAGCTGCTGGCTCTTGGGTCCAGCATCGAGACCCATCCATCCGTCTGGAATACCTTCTTCGTCCGTAGCAGCACCCACCTGAGCGTCCTTGTCGAACTTGTCGGCAGTAACGTAATCCACAGGGAAGACCAACTCCACATTGTTCTTCCTTGCCTTTTCCACCAGGCCAGCCACCTTTTGAGAGCCTGGCTCGTCGAACAGAGAATTGCCAATCTTGACATTGTCCAAGGTTTTTTTGAATGTGAACGCCATTCCTCCGCAGATGATGAGCTTGTTGACCTTGTCTAGCATGTTTTCAATCAACTGAATCTTGTCGGACACCTTTGCACCACCAAGAATGGCCAGGAATGGTCTCTCGGGGCTCTCCAGAGCTTTAGCAAAGAATTCGAGCTCCTTCTTCATCAAAAAACCGCTTGCTCGGGTGGGCAGATCCACGCCCACCATGGAGGAGTGCGCGCGATGAGCAGTGCCGAAGGCATCGTTGATGTAAACATCTGCCAGCTTGGTCAGACCGGATCTGAAAGCTTTGACCTGCTCAGCATCCGCCTTGACTTTTTCTCCAGCCTCGTTGACACCCTTGCCCTCCTCTTCGATGTGGAATCGCAGATTCTCGAGGAGAACAATTTGTCCGCCGGAAAGCTTCGAGACGGCCGCTTCCACATGCTCACCCACCGAGTCGTGCAGGAACTCGACTGGCTTGCCCAGCAATTCGGAGACTTTGTCTGCTACGGGAGCGAGGGAGAACTTGGGAGTGACCTTACCATCTGGTCTACCCAAGTGAGATGCCAGAATGATGGCCTTTGCCTCTGTCGCGGGGTGAGGGGCATAGCCGTTAGCATGCTAGCACTAGCAGCCTGTCAAGCCACGACCTTGGAAGATGAGCACTCACGCTTTTCGATGGCGTACTTGATGGTGGGCAGAGCAGCGACGATACGTTGAGGGTTGGTGATGGTCTTGCCGTCCATGGGAACGTTGAAGTCGACGCGGATGAAGACGCGCTTGTCCTTCAGATCCACATCGGTGATGGCCAGCTTCTTGGAGAGAGACATTTTGGCAGAAATTTCTTTGTTCAGCTCGAGATTTGCGTGGATGAGCGTTTGGAGATGAGGGTTGGACAATAGGAAGTAGAGCGCGGAGTGTGTACTCTCTTGACTGCGAGTCGAGTCTCACCGATCGCAATTTTCACAAATTCACATTTCTGGATTCACATTGATTTCCAGCGCCTTGCATGGTGCCCTGCCTGCATGCACTCAACATTCACACACTCACGATTGCAGTCAACAGTCTCATCAGGCTCACACACAGACAGCGAGGGCACCGGCACCGCCATGCGAATTCACGCTTCACGATCAACATATCTTCTGCTCTCGATCATCGCTCGCCTGCCTGCCTATACCACGTAACGCGCTCGTTCCGCGTCCCGCGCCTCTCCGCGCCTCTCCGCGCGCGCCCCAACCCAATTCTCGATCACTCCGTCCAAAGCCGGCGGGCCCGTGCGTGCGCCCTGGCGCCATTGACAAGAAATGCAGCATCACAATGTGACACGTGGCTTGATTCCATGCAGCGTCCGCGTCCGAGTCTCGTGCGACAAACAGCAGCTGGCTTGGTCACGCTGGAAGTCGTGAGTCGAACATTCAGATTGGCGGCGGGGTACAGCTGCACGCACGCACCTCTACATACATACAGCTTACCCTCACGACTGCAAGGTGTCCATGGCAACATCCTCGACATCGGAAGGTGGTCTCTCCATATCTGCGTCTTGGTCAGACTCGCGTCAGCTTTTCACATTCGACACAAAGAGTTCAGCAACGGCAAGCTGGAAGAATCTCGCATCAGGCAGTCCGGAGCTGCTCCTGGCTCGCCTTGCTGCACCAAGGCTTGCTTATTCCCCTGAAGGTGCACCTTTTCGTACCTCCACGCTTGGTCGTCCGCACCCCCTACACTCTCGACGCTTCATCTGGGAGATTTCCCGAGCGTTGATCACTTTTGGTGGCCTTCAGCACCCCGACATCTATCTTCTTCCTGTTTCGTCGCTTTGAAGATCCTCTTCCCGCAATGCACAGCCGCGCGTTCTCACTGACAGCAGCATGCCTGGCGCTGCTGCTGCTCAGTCTGAGCTGCGTCTCGGTGCAAGGTGCAGCCTTGACGACCATTCTGCAACCTCACGAAAAGTCATGTTTTTACGCTTGGGTGGACAAGGTCGGAGAAAAGATTGGTTTCTACTTTGCGGTCCAGAGCGGTGGGAGCTTTGATATTGACTATCACGTTGGAAGTCCTAGCGACCGCACTATAGTGGAAGGTGTCAAGGAAAGACAGTTGGACATTGTCTTTACAGGAAACGAGGTGGGCGAGTACGCCTTCTGCTTCGAGAACGACATGAGCAACTTTGCCGATAAGATGGTGAGCGACGTTCCAATGCCCCGCGCGTCATTCGCGTCGCCTTGTTGACCTATGCTCCCTCCAACTACCCGCTCTTTCCACCCAGATCGATTTCGACATCACCGTCGAGTCAGAACCGAGGTTAGACTTACCGCTGTCCTCTGCGGCAGCTCTCTCGGAGTCATCCGCTCCCCTCGAAGAGTCGATCGGCAAGGTGGATGCTCAGTTGACGAATGTGGTCAGAACGCAGCGCTACTTCAGAGTGTGGGAGAATCGAGGGTACAACACCGTGAAGGGTACGCAGTGAGTACATGCAGATGACTCATAGAAGGGTCGTCCTGCCACAAAAGGGCGGTCGGTGGAGGTTGCGCTGCAACGCATGATAGAGCGGTGCTGGTCCGGCGGGGAAGCGTCGCATGTGGTACCAGCTCTTCGCACGTGCTGACCACATTTGCTTCACGTCGACCATTCTGTGCCTCCTGCAGGCGGAAAATGTTTTGGTATTCCATCGTCCAAGCCTTGGTGGTCATCAGCATCTCGGTCGGGCAAGTGTACGTGGTCAGATTGCTCTTCGAGAAGGGAAGCACAAAGCGGTACCGTGTATGAGCAAGTCTGCTTTGTGCGGGCAGACGCAAGGACGAAATCGATCATGCATCATCGCAACGCGCACGCCACAGTGATGTGTTTGGACGAGGAAATATCAAGGGGCTACGTTGGTGCAGACCATGACGCCTCCGTAGAGACCAGAGATGACAAGCGTGCCATGTTCCTTTCCAGCAAGCCACTCTGCGCCTGCACTGCTCGGTGTTCCCGGTTCTGCGCCATCTGTGGACAGGTACAGGCTGCGGACGACCCACTCCGCGACATTTGGCTTGACCAGACTTTTCGTGAGGTCAACGGGGGCATTTCCCTTGGAGCGAACCATGGAGTCATCCGTCGTGTCGTCTCGTAAGTGCGCAACACTTTTTAAGAGGGTAGAAGATGCGGGCAAGATGTCTATGACCCAACTTCCGGCTCTTTTTGGCCTGGGGCTCCGGACTGTGCGAGCCATGCCGACGAGTCGCAAAGGGTGGGGATGTCCAGCAACCACCAATCTGGATGCGTCGAAGGGGTCGTCTTGCACGCGTTCGCTATTGCCTTGGGTAGTGTGGCTCAGCGAACGGGCACTGAGATGATCCGATGAGGAAAAGGACAAATTGTCGGGTGTTTGAGGCGTGTGGATCGTTCCCCTCTTTTCAAGTGGACGAGACCAATCTGGTTTTCCATCACCGTCGAGACGCGGGCTGTAGAGCACCACACCTGGAAGGGTCGTGCTTGCGACAGCGATCGTGGTACCTTTGGGAGAGACGGAAATGCCGTTGGCAAATGCAATCCCTTGAGCCGCGAGGGCCGAAGTCACCGGGATGGAGGTGCGCTCAGAGGGCTGCATTTGCACCCGTGCTACCCAACCTAGCTTAAGACCCATGAATGTCTCGATCCTTGGCAGAACTTGTTTGAGGAGTGGGTTGGTCAAGACGGCGGCGCCCAGTAGAGCGAGCCAGTGCGGAGCGCGCAAAGCCTGCAAAAGTTTGACGACCTGCCCTCTCGGCGGTGGCCTGAGCGCAAAAAGATGATCGTTTGTTACGAGGAACGAGTCCTGGCTAAGCATGGCAATAGAGTTGGGAGTGTGCGTGGCGAGAGCATCGCTGATTGTTCCCCTGTGGGAGAGTTTGACCCTCTCGGCTCGTGGGACACCAGACTCGCCGCGGATCGAGATGGAGAAGACTTCGATAGTAGAGTGGGTCGAGGCGTGATTGACTATCAAGAGCGTGCTAGGCTCGTCGCCTGAGCTCGAGGGATACATTGCAGCTCCCAGTGGGTGAAAGGAGTTCGGGAATGGGTCTTGTGTTGTGCTGAGCGAGTGTGAGAGCAGTACAGGCTCTGCGGTCGGGCTCGCTGGATCCCATACCCACAGTCCACCACGAGGCTGGGACCTGCAGTCGGACAATATCCTGGTCAGTCCACCTTGGCGTCAATCATGAACGAAAGCCTCGCATTGCCTCACTCTTTCAATGGTCCCATGACCGTATTCCATTCTCCTCGGCCCGGATCGCAAGTAGCAAGTAACAGTGGCGCAACGTCATCCTCGTGATCCAAGCCTTCAAGGAAGAGTACATCTTCGCAGAAATTTAGACTCTGAGTACCGCCCCTGGCACGTGCGTCTGCTCTTGCTGCTCGCAACTTGTGGCATTGAGGGTCGCCACGCTGCTCTGCATGCGCTGAATGTGTCAAGGAGCCGGGAGTGGATGTGAGGTTACGAACCCAATGATCAGGCAAAGAAGGCCCGATCAAGAAGCGAGAGTACCAAGAGCGAGCCAGAAGCACATGAGCCAAGAGCGCGCTGCTGGCAAAGAGCGCGAATGAAGTCCATCTCAACTTTTGCGGAGCAGCGCTGGCTGCGCTTGGAGATTTTGTGGTCGAACCGGCGCGGGGAACGCGAGGAGTCTCCATGGTCTGCTTGCTTTCGCCTCGTACGATGTACCTTTGGAGGTGCAAATCCCTTGTGACGATGTGG